TTGTTGATGTCATATACTGGCATTCCTGTATAAGCATGGTTTCGCCAAGCAATTGCAGCCTAAATATAAAAAGTAACAATTGTACAAATGAAAACAGTGTTATGAGCTTGTGGAAGTCAGACTCTTTTAATCCCTGGATTCAGGAAGTGTTAAAATCTAATCAAGCCTTCTGGTCCCTAGATCCAGCAACTGTTAAGAGCTAATCAAACTAGGCTAGTTTACTGAACCCCTGGATCCAGCAAGTGTTAATATATGTCAGGGGTGCTGTCAACAGCTTGCTGGCTAACTGCCTAGTGAAATCAGAGATGCAGAGAGCTTCTTTCAGTTCTTTTATTTTAATCCACAGAAACACAGGAAAACATGAAATGTACACCCTCAAGCTTGAGCCGAACTTGCTCAGAGTGCTGCTCCAACCCCCTTGCAGTTACTTCTTAGCCCTCAGACCCCTCTTGCGGCTGCTAAGGAAATCCCTCTGTCTCTGTTTGGCTTTCTGCTCTGAGTCACGAAGGCCACGTCTGGTCCTAGTGGAAGGAGGTGGCTCTAACATACTCTCCAGAGACAGCATATCACTTGGTTCAGAACTGTTTCTAACGCATCTGACTCCTGTCTCTGTTCAGGGCTGGTGCACCTGCTATCTTGCTCCTGTTCTTCATCACCCATTCTTTCCCAGCTCCTTTCTTCTTCTGGGGTGTGTCCCGTATCAAACCACCATGATTCCAGGTCCATACTCTCTCCCCCTTCCATCTCTCTGGAAGGCTCTTGGGGTGGTGGTCTCCACCACTCCTCCTCATCTGCCCAGTCCCTGAGAATATATAAGGCAGACTTGCTTCCTTATGAGGAGATTGCCTGGGGGGTGGGCCACTCAGAGAAGAAAGGAAAGGAGGCTCTGAACCAGCTGGCAAATGAATGGAGCCCCTCCTTCAACTCTTAGATAGCTAGAAGGACAAAGCCGTAGTTTAGAGTTGAAAGGGGAGTGAGATGTGAACCAGAGGAAAAGCAACAAGCTGCAGAAAGAGTCAGAGCATGATATTTGATTTCTGTCTAAATCTAAGACTGCAGCTATGGGAGAAACATGACCCTTTTGAGGTGTTAATGCTGTGAACCCCTCCATCATAGGCTCGGGTTGTATACATGTGCAAATAAGCCATATATCATAAAGACACCAGAGTCTCCACTGTGCCTTATTTCCAAAAGGAAACATGAATCCTGGGTAAGTGCATGGAATCCTTAGAATCTTGCACCACTTGGAGCTTGGAGTGGTGTGTAACAATATGGCAGCAGAGCACAACTTACTAGTGCCTTGTTCTTGAGAGGGATGGTGGAGAAGCTGGGAATGGCAGGCATACAGGCAGTGGAATAGGTAGAGTTCAAAGGCGGAGTTAAAGTGTGGAAATGCAGGAGCATTGGGGAAGCCCTGTAGAGCAACTGATACTGTGGGATGGTGTGTTAACGGTCCAGTATAAAACCAACAACATGTTGCTTCATACACCCACAATAAAACTGTAGTCTGGATGAGATCCATACTCCATATTACTGATATTTTTTCAAACACATCCGAAATGAAAGCTCCAGTCTGAGGCACATAGAGACTGGCTGTGATTAGTTAGTGGTAAGGGATCTCCCATTACAAAATGCATGACATCTGTCAAGACTCATGACATCTGTCAAGGCTTAGTACTTCTCATTTTAGAGATTTTCCACTGCCATTGATTTTATAAGAGATTTCTGTGGAACTTTTCTTACACCAACAGAAACTGATCTGACACGAGATATTGCCTTAGATATTTTGGTACCTTCCAGGAGTTAATAGTGAGCAGAGGGAAGGGAACTATCCTAATCTTATAGTGCTTCCCTGTGGCAACACTTTGGAACTGCATCCTTCAGCTTTGGAATTGCCTCATTTTCAATCCATTGAGAGGCTCCTGGCAAAGAAGGCTGCTTTGAGCAGACTAGCGAGGCCTCAGTGAGGCAGTGCCCTTAACTTCCAACAGCACCATGAGCTGATTGGATACACCAGTGTTTCTTGCCAGTGTGGTAAACCTGTCTCTTAGGTGTACCACTTCAGACTGCAGATGGAGGTTCACATAACTGAAGTCTATTCCATTAGAAAAAACTAGGATGCTAGAAAGAGGGTTTCTTCCTTGCCCTTCTTCCTAGCATGCTAGTTTTCTATGGGTAGGAAAGCACCACTGTGCCCCCCGAAACATTTTGTCATGTGATCCCCAAGCTACAGCCTGAAATGGTCCCGTCCATTCAACAAGAACTAGACCAGAGCAAGGGAAATGAGAGAGAGAGAGATTGTACCTTTGTCCATCCATGTACTGACCTTGTGCTAGTCTCCTTATAAGTCAGTCAGGTTTTTGCCCGGGAGCCCCTTCCCAACAACCGTAAATATGCCAAAGGAGCCAATGGAAGTACTTGATTTCCTACAGATGTGTTTTTAAAGACCTGAAACGCAGCCCTGGTGTCAGGTTGGGAAGGCGCAGGATATTTATGATACAACAGCTCTCCCCCTTTGGCTCTAATTGAATTCGAGTACATCTTCTGGGCAAAAAAGAGAAAAGAAATGTAGCATTTACTCCTACCTACCTTCAGGATTAACGTTTCTGGAACTCCCTTCCCCTGAAGAATTGGTCAAACCCAAGCATTTTTCTAAAGCGCATGGATTTCGTTAAGGCTAGCCATATTCAGAATAATATTTGAGGTGAAAGGACCTCTATAGTCAAACTGAATTCTACTCTTTAAGAATCTTTTGCATTTAGCAAAAATAAATGCAGAATTAGCATGGCAATAAGATCACAATGTAATTAAAACCCAGAGGAAATCCATCCAGTGCCAGCCTTGCTGGAGCCATTAAAAATCAACCCAATTCCTACAAAAGAACAATGGCTGCATGAACTTTTTGCAGAATTAACAAACGTGACAGCCAAAATAAGGAACCAGAATGACAGTCAAATGAGGGGCGAGTGGGAATGCTTTGGGAGTATTTAAAAATATATGATACTAAAAATCAGTTTTCAAGTAGGGGTAACTTTATGAGCAACAGCTAATTGCAACGAATGAATGCAAGAGGAAAAATAGGGTGGACAAAGTAATTGATATACAGCAAGAACAAAGTTTATCTAGAATGCCTCAGAGTGTTGGGTTGGGAAGTCTGCACAGAAACATTGTATGATAGGAAAAGTTGATGTGTAATCAGAAAACTGGAAAAGCATAAAGAGAGAGAGAGAGAGAATGAAACACACCCACCCACCCCATCCCAATTCTCCTGAAAGAGATTCAGTCAAAGCATGAGCATTCAACATTAGTAAAGAAGCTACCATCTCTGTATTGATTTATTTAGTGCCAAGAGCATGGTAGGTGTTATAGAGGCGACACATTTTACTCCTTGCCAAGACATTACTTGCCTATATTAGAAATTACTAAGAGTTCTGTGGCATGTTGTTGGCACCCGTCTACCTTGGGAAGACAATATTTGAAATATTCTTCTGAATGATTTGGATTACATCAGAATACATTTCTTTTGGTAGCTGAAGCAAAGAGGCCAATCTAGATTAGGAGGACCTGTCACAATTAACCCTCAGTGAGTAAATCATGACTGCCACTCTTCTTCATATATCTGCCCTTGTTCTCATGCAGTAGGAGTCATTTCATGTCACAGCTTTTGTGTGCCAACCAGAGCCTGTGACACACAGTGTTCCTGTTATTTGTAAGACGTTTCTACAATTTGATATTTGTCTCAAGGCCTCTGAGATCACATTTGCAATATTATTTCTATCAAGACAATGGGGCAACCTCCTTTTCTTGTTGCAAGCGATGCAAGTTCCCAGACCAAACACAGCCAGCTTCAGAAGAGAAAACGAGTGTTTGGCAGGTTAATGTTGGTGAGGCTGTCTGCACTGGTGATCTTATCTTGGCAGGAAATGCCAAAGATATGACATAAACAGCCAAGATGGAAGATGTTTCCTTCTCTTGGCAACCAATGGTGGTCTGGGGCATGCTGCCCTATATAAGCAAGGTGCCACAGATACAGGACTGTTAGGTCAGTATCTTTGTTCTGATGGTTAGTTTAGTATTATTTCAGGCCCACTTTGTCAATCTGCCTAAAGTGATAGTTTCTTTCCTGATGCAAGTGACGAATTAAGTGATAAATTGTCATTCACCATGGATCCAAGGTAACATAATTTATTAACTACCTTAGGAGAAGTATTGTCAAAGTTTATCATAGACTGCTGTATAATGCCTTGCCCTTTGGCTGGTATCCTTAATTCTGTTCAGTGGGGAGAATGTGGAGCGTGCATGAGTATGATGGTTCTTGCAGTTTTGTAACTGGCTTGGCTCATGGCCAAATTGTGTGGCAGCAATCTTCCTTAGTTAGCAGCCTATTTAAGATGTGTCACCGCCCCCCACAGCTCCCGTTAGCTTTTAGGTGAGCAGATTTGGACAACATGCCTTATTTAAAGCAGTCCTCTTTAACAGCAGTCAGAAGAGTTGACAGGCTTGGACTCTTTCAGCCTTTGCCATACCAGGCCCAGGGGATGCTATGACAAGAGAGAAATGCAAGGGAGAAATGTGCTAAGAAGAAGGCACGCTTGGCAAATCCACACCATGATCAACTCCCGATGTCCCCACTGTAGAAGGACGTGTGGATCCAGAATTGGCCTCCACAGTCACTTACGGACTCATTGCTAAAACTGTGTTTATGGAAGACAATCTTACTCTGCTACAAGTGATCGCCAAATAAGAGGAAGAAGAATGACAATAGACTTGGCTGCTGAAGGGCCAGAACCTATGCTAAACTGGGAAATACTCTGGGCAATTTATGCTCTTGGGCAGCCATGTTGAAATGGTTATATATGAAGCAATTACAATGTGCAAATGGGGAACCGGAGCAATCTGTGTGCATCTCTGTTTCTCTCCTCTATTTCCTTTCTCTCCTCCCTTGAGGGCTGCAGGGTGAAGGCTGAAAGTTGAAGAGTCCAAGCCCATCAACCTTTTCTCTCAGCTTGTAATGGTAAATGAAAATATTTGGATAAGCTGCGATACGAGGCCATCTTTATTTACAAACTGGGGACCTGCTGGCCCACACATCAAAAGCCCTCCTCTTTTCATTCAGTGTTGCCTTCACCACTCCTCTTGTCTTTCAAGCAGCTGAAGACATTATTTGATGTTCCACTTTGCCTTGTTTACATTAATTAAGGTGGTCAAATCCATCATGTGTGACTTTTTGTCTCTCTCTCTCCCCTCCCCGATCTACTCACCCAGAAGAGGCAGAAATGGTTCAGACAGAGGTGTTGGGGGATAGAAATGAGAGCTGGCAAGAGACACACCTCCTGCAGGTGTTGGCTGCCCTTTCCTCAAGCCCTGCTGCCCTTTTTTTTGTTACTGGAAGATAAGAGGTACACTTTTTCTCCAGAGTCATGTAAGCAGGCTGTGAGTCTCTTGATAATCCTTTAGAAATACCGTGATGAATGATGTCCTTGTCAGCAAAAAGATGAGAAAAGGGGGTTTGCTTGCAGCCATCTGAGGAGGATGAAAATAAGCAATTAATACAACACTTTTTGAGTAGTCAAAGTGCTTGACATACATTACATCCGTAATCCTTACAACAGGTAGTATTTTCTCCATTTTGCAGCTGGTTTAGAGGCTGTGAAATTGTAGTTGCCTTGGGCCGTTTAGTGGGGCCTTGGCAGAGCTAGGATGCGGAGACCTCCTGTTTCAAAGGTCACTCTCTTAGCTAGTATACTACTCTGGCTGTCAATGACAAGTTTCAGAAGAATTTGAATCAGGTTGGCTGCGTCTTCTGCTATTCATGGGCCAACTGGGAACTTGCTCTCTACTCTGGGCACTGGGCATTTCTTAGCTGTGAGAGTCAGCATTATCCTGGTCTTAGAATGATAGATTCATGTTCAGTGCCCATGGAAGACTGCTTCCCAGCATTATAGCAAGAACTAACAAGTAGATCCATAGGTGAGGACCAAACAACACATGACATGAATCTCATGGTTTGCCCTCCTTAAGTGCATGTCTTTTTTCTCTCAAAAGAGCCGGCATGGAGATATGCAGGTTAGGAACCATGGTATGTGGTGCTTTAACCTTCTGCCTCCTGCTGTGGTCAGAATTGGGGTCCCCAATGAGAGCATTTCATCCCATGCACATGACATGCCTGTCTCCCCCCATTTGGAATAGAACTCTGTGAGGGTGGAAGTTAAAGTCCCCTTCCCCCAACATCACTGTCCTGATCCAGCTCTCCCACAACCCACACTGGTTCTTTGAAAGAAAAATCTCAGGGTCTGGGTTGTGCCTTTGCTGTAACATTTGAAGGATAACAGAGACAATGTACAGACAAAAGGTATATGTAACAGTCTGAGCCTCCCAGTTTTATTTTTTGATAGTATCATAGAAACACACAAAATACAGCTACTTGTCAGTGCTTGGCTATAATTCTAAAGCCGTTTTCAGGCAATACTTGATTTCTCAGGTTTGAGTTATGCAGGGGAAGAAGCCTAGAAGTTATGCATCTTTCCCCCTTCCAGGTATGCATATTTTATGAATAGGGTATTCACAAGGAAGTACAGTACACTGCTCTTGAGATTGACTTCAGCTCTCATTTAGTTTGGCCAAACATTGATGTTGAGGTGTGGGAAATGTGACTTCTGGCTCAAATCAAATCCCTGGATTCAAGGACAATACACAGATCCCCAAAACCAGACTGGAAATTGGACTGGAATCCACCCCAAGGGCCACTAAAGAGAATACTCTGGAAGCACTCCATACAAGGTTCCCCCTGAAATTGCAGGGCTTGTGATGGGGGGACCCTGCTTTCTCCTCCAACTCCTCAGTCATTGAGCAGTCTGAGAAATCAAGGCTGGGAATGATATCAACCTTCAAAACAGGGATGAAATGAAGATGGTACAGTATTCTTCTAGAATTGTTGATAAATTTGTACGTTTATAATACCAAAGACAAATCCAACAGCAGCCATCAAATTCAGCTCTTGCTCTGCAACAATCCTGAATTCTTATGTACTTGTTTAGTTGTTTAGTTGTGTCCGACTCTTCATGACCCCATGGACCAGAGCACACCAGGCCCTCCTGTCTTCCACTGCCTCCCGCAGTTTGGTCAAACTCATGTTAGTAGCTTCGAGAACACTGTCCAACCATCTCATCCTCTGTCGTACCCTTCTCCTTGTGCCCTCCATCTTTCCCAACATCAGGGTCTTTTCCAGAGTCATCTCTTCTCATGAGGTGGCCAAAGTATTGGAGCCTCAGCTTCAGGATCTGTCCTTCCAGGGCCGATTTCATGTACTTATAAATGACTAATTCAGGTCCAGGTCTGTCAACTGGATGCTAGCAGTGCTCACAAGATGGGAGAAGTGGCTGGAGGGGTCCTTAATGAAATTTGCAAGCCCCACAGACCCCCCAACGTTTTTGCTAAATCATGCCCACCAAATACACATACGAGCACACACAACATATTGCCGTGTTGAGAGAGAGAGTTGGTGGGGAAGGTGAAGCACCAAATCCTAAGCCCTACCAGGCTCTCACCAGCTGAGTGGAAGACGAAGAGAGGATTTTTTTTCTTGTCAGTATTCCAGTCCCAGGGCTGATGTGCTCTCCTACCCCCATTCTGAGGACATGCTTCTGAGAACATAAGGGCTTTAGATCTAGTGGATACAAAACCTCCACTGCATGCTCCCTTTCTGCCCTCTCAATTTCCAGAGCTTCAATGACAAGGAAGCACCAGGAATGGTACCTTTTTTCCACTCTGCCTGGGGTGGGGACTTCCAAAGATGGATCTCCTACTCCTCCTGTTAAGAAGGTGTTCCACAATATTTTTCGTGACCATAGGATGGCATGCTAGAGGCCATAGGATTGTACCCTTAATCTTACTTTGATCTTTAAAAAACCTTTAGAGTTAGAAAACTGCTTCACAAAATCAAGTCATTTGAGTTTTATGGATGACCTCTACTTAGTTGACTAGAAATGCCATGATGCATCTGCAGCAGTACAACAAGACACCTTCATCTGTCCCAGCTGCAACAAAACATGTCTCTCCTGTATCAGTCTCTACAGCCACAGCAGGTACTATAACCTTTCAACATTTGACTTCACTCCCAAAGACTCACTCCTCCATGGTCTCCTGAGATGGACAGATGCCAATTATTAGTTGACTAGAATTTCGTGATTAAGGCTTGTTCTGAAACAGCACCCCATCAACAGTTAGAACTGAGCTTATCATTCATAAAGGGTTCCAAGATTCTGACAGAGCAAGAATTGAATTAATGTGATTGCATGCCTGGTTCTTATCATAGTCATCTTCATTATTATAAATAAATGTTTTATAATAGTTCTAGAAGAATATAGGATGTCTTATCAATAGAATTTCTATTATTCAATAGATCCTCTTAGAATTTTCTGTTTTGCGATTCAACATGCTGCTCCCCCCTTCCTCTTCTTTGTTCCATAATTCCAAGAGGATGCCATGGATCGTGGAGCAGCAGGGAGGTGAGCAGAAATAGTTACTTCATTTATCTGCAAAGGGTTTGTTATGATTCTGTCCTTAACAGATAAACTGCACTTAGCAAAACTCTCACTCTCTGCTAATGGAAAGCACTTTTATCTAATAGCCACATATCGCCCAACACCAGGGGCTTTTAGTAACCTCCTCCCCTTCTCTCCCACACAAAGATTACTGCTCCTTCTTCCTTTGCTAGAGTGGGATATGATTCACAAGAAGGCTTCCTAACTTCACAGCTGTGGTGTGGCTTTATGCCAGACTCTACAAAGCCCAAGAAAGAGGCAGGTGTAGAAAGGAAAGTATAGTGAAATATTGCTTTAAAAAACACACACAACACCCTTCAAGCTTCCTGTCATCCCAGCTGGTGGATCTCATGCTCTTAGAAAGACCCAGCACTGTGGTGGGCAAATGAGAGTTTCAACTACAATAAGATGCTATTCACACAAGCACTAGGCATGACTCCAATGGGAGTCTTCCTCCCATTGCGAATAGCAGGCATGTAGGAGTGCTATTCCAGTCATGACCATGGTTGGGACAAAGGAGTAACACCCCTCCCCTCTTCACACCATGGCCCCGATCCATTTTACTCCCCTACTGACTAATCTTGTTTTTTAAAACAATTGTGCACCAGATCACATCTAGTATAGCCATTAGGCTAGGCTCTTGACCTCAGCCTTCCATCTATAATATGAGGATCAATCTACCTTAGGTGTTTATTATAAAGATCACTACAACATATTATATGTACAGAAGTTTGATCATTGTAAGCTCTATATACATGCTCACTATTGTTACGTTTCTTCACTGTGCCGTCACAAGGTTTTTGAAAGTAGGTTGAGAAATAATATCATGGTTAACATGGGGTCAAGGGTGAAGCCAAGTGCAAAACCAGTAGATGACTTAGTCACATGACCAAGCTGTCATGGTAAGAGGATGAGGCTGGAAGTACCCAATGAACATAGGAAGCTGCCTTATCCTAGGTCAGACTATTGGTCCATTTAGCTCAGTGTTTTCTACTCTGACTGGCCATGGGTTTCCAGGGTTCCAGACTGGTGGCCTTCCCAGTCCTACCTGAAGATGCCAGGGATTGAACCTGGACCTACTTTATTCAAAGCAGATTCTCTGCCACTGAGCTATGACCCTTCTCCTAGGAAATGTGTATTTAAAATGCACTTTCCCTTTTCCTGAAGCATAGCTCAACTCCAGATCTCTTTATATGATCACATCAGCCAGAAACTTTCACCATCTTCAGCTCTAATGAGCTAAATCATTAGCATGTTAATGGACTTGAAAACAACAACTTTAGAGAGACACTTTAAGGCAGTGGTTCCCAACTGGTGATCCGCAGACCCCAGGGGGTCCATGTAACCCACCGGGGGGTCCATGTCACCACTGACATAACAAAAACTAGAAAGAGAGATATCAAAATTTTCAAAAGTAGGGGGTCCACAATATTCAGCTTTAAGATCAACCTATGCTTTAAGATCAACCTATGAGGCCGTCCTGGTAGTCCCAGTGAGAGACAATATTAACATGATGGGGGCCAAAGTAGGGTTTATTCACTGTCAGTTCCAAAACTCTGGAACAGTCTCGTCAATGAGATCTGCCTTTCTTCAGTGATACACACTTTTAGGAGGGAAGTGAGGATGAAGATGCACCTCTATCTCCAGGCTTTTAGAAGAGAAGAATTTTTTCCCCGTAGCATTAAATTTAACAATTTAAAATACTGCATTAAAAACAGTTTAAAGTACCGTAGATTGCAATGTCAAACATAGGGTAGGTGCTACTGAATTCAATTGAATGCTCCTAGGTTAGTTACATTAGGATTGCAGCCTTAACTGTAAAGAACTGCTGGGTGAGGGTTAAGAAAAATCAGGACCAAGTTTTTTAAGATGTGGAACCTATGTTTAGCCTAACATTCTTTTATCCCTTCCTCATCTCCTTCCTGTTTTCTTTTGCACACACTCTGATGTTTATTTAAAGAGTATTGTCTACCTCTTCCTGGAAGAATATAAATATGTTAATTTTTTTCAAAGCATTGTGTAAGGATTCCTTGCCCAGGATTTACTAAGTTTAGTCCACAGTAATGAAAATGTTGCCTTTTACACATACTTGGTGGCTCTATTCTTGCATTAAATTCCACCTTAGTTACAAGGAGCTTTGGACAGTTCCTCACAACAGCAGCAACAACAACAACAACAACACCAACCGTTTGAATTAGGCTAGAAGGAGATAAAATGCCGGACCAAATAATGCCTGGCTCATCAGCCTCATGGCTGTACAAAGATTAGAGCCCAGTTCCTATCCCCATAATGGACCCTCAAAAACATAGCTTATCAGATTCATATGTTGCCCTTCCCACAAGAAATTCAGGGTAGCAATACAGGAAGTTCTCCCATTTTATCCTCACAACAACCCTGTGGGGTATATTAGGTTGAGACACAATGATTGGGCCAGGCTTGAAAAAGGATTTAAGATTAACCATGCAATTCTGTACAAGTCTCATGTGAAGTAATCCTATTGAGTTAAGTGGGATTTACCCCCACATAAGTAGAGGGGTAAGTTTAGAGCCCCTTTTCTTCTTTTTTCTTCTGTTTTGGCTATTTTAGTATAAGTTCTTCAGGACACTAACCTGTCTTGTGCATCTCTATACATGTCTTCTCAGAAGAGTTCAATGAGACTTGGGAGTAAGTGGGGTAGGACTGAATCTAACATTTAAAGTAAAAATAAAAAAGGACACAATTCTGTCATAACTTAGTACGTTTCTGAGCACAATTCAAAATGTTGATGGTGACCTTTAAAGCCCTAAACGGCCTCGGTCCTGTATTCCTGAAGGAGCGTCTCCACCCGTCGTTCAGCCTGGACACTGAGGTCCAGCTCCAAGGGCCTTCTGGTGGTTCCCTCACTGCGAGAAGTGAGGTTACAGGGAACCAGACAGAGGGCCTTCTCGGTCGTGGCACCTGCCCTGTGGAACGCCCTCCCATCAGATGTCAAGGCAATAAGCAACTATCTTACTTTTTAAAGACATTTGAAGGCAGCTCTGTTTAGGGAAGTTTTTAATGTTTAATGCTGTATTGTGTTTTTAATATTCGGTTGGGAGCCGCCCAGAGTGGCTGGGGAAACCCAGCCAGATGGGTGGGATATAAATAATAAATTATTATGATTATGATTATAAAGATTGCTGTGCACCTAATTCTGCTGAAACCAATCAGACTTCAAAACAGAGGTTGCTAATGTAGTTAAACTACAGCTCCGATAATTCCTGCTTATTGGCCATACTAGCTGGGGTGTAATAGCTCAGCCACCTCCTTGGCCACACTGCATTACCCGGTCCAGGGGCTACCAGCCACCACAGGAAAAGGAAGTCCCACAATGGATTTGTGCCTGTTCACCCTCTCAAACTTGCAAAGGGTTTGAGCACTTACAAGGAGTTCAGCAGTTAGCTAACACTTAATCTGAGCCCGGACTCACTCACCAGGGCTGAGTCCCGGCACCTGTTTTCAGTGACAGCACTCAGCTCTGGATTATATGAAGTTCCTTTCCTTCTTTAGTGAGTAACATCAACTAGCCCCAAACAGATGTGTCATTAGAGGAAATGTCTTCCAGGTCAGAGGGTGTGAATTCCCATCAGACTTGCGCCCCAGCACTGCTGATATTTCAGAAAGGAAGCAGTTTTTCCAGCTCAATGGCTCTAAAATTCTCCAAAGTGGAAGCAGGTTGTTGGACTTCTTGTCTTGTACATTTTATGCACAAATGGAGGTGTTGGGGAAGAACTATCTTTTATGTAAAATGTAGCTCTACAGTTAAAGGAGAGAGAAAAGTACTAAAAAAGAGGAAGGAGAGGAGGGAAATCTGTTGGCAAAATCTTTTAATATTTTCCACCTTCTCACGAATATTGACACTCAGGTCTGTGGAGGGAGGGGTAAATGTCTGATTTATGTCTCTGGTCATGAGACAATGCAGAGGTGAGGTCAGATGCAGGCATCCTTCATCCTCTCTTCAGTAGTCTGGCTTATCCCTTGGGCAAGGTAGAGTCAAAATATCTCAGATGGCAGAAGTCACCTGAGTGACATGACTGGAGGTTAAAGGAGCAGAGCCCCCACCTCCTATGGGCCAGATGACACCTATATATCTCCATGTTACTATTGTTTCCACTTGGAAAATGGCACATTGGTTGTGGTAGCTTTTGACTTTAACCCTGCCCCACCTCCTCACCCTAAATTACCTTGGACTTCCACCAAAATCATCTGGAATTATTTGTATTGTGTAACTTAAGGATGGGGGAAAGGAAGATAAAATCAGAAATACCAAAGACTGTGGCCAACAAGTGTTTCATGCTAGCATAACCCTAATAGGGAACAACACAGAGAATGAATCTGATTCTGAGTTTTGGGAGTTCTCTTCATTGATGAGATGCTGAACAGTTGCATAGCAGCAGGGAGAGGGTGTGATTTGTTGCAGGGAAGCAGGAGTCTGGAAGTTACCTGCAACAAATCATGCATGAAACACTTGTTAGCCACAGTCTTTGGTATTTCTGATTTTATCTTCCCAAATCACACTCTTATCTTCCCTTTCCCCATCCTTAAGTTACAGTACATAATATGTTGCACATGCACATGTTGTTGTTAAATTCTCTGCCCAGGAAGTGTTCCAACAAATACAGTCAGACAATTGAAAATTATCAGCACACACTTTTGCAGTTTTCCAGTTTTGTGCAAATCGGACTGTTCAGACTGTACTGTTTGCATTTAATTGCCATTTAACTCCAACTTATACATCTTCTATATATGCCTCATTTAGCTGACGATTGCACTTCATGCATCTGATGAAGTGGACTCTCGTCCAAATGTGTTAGTCTTTAAGGTGCTACATAACACTTTGTTGCTTTTCATACATTATGTTTTAGCAAGTACTTCTTGGTATAGTTCTTAATCTTGAGTTTTTAAGGATATGTGTCCACCTGTATGGAGTTCCCAATTGATCATAATTTCATATTGTCTGGACTTGAATTGGAAAAAATATTGTGTAAAATGGACTTTGGTAGTAAGTAACCAGCAGATTGTTTATGACAGAAGCTGAAGTATGTGTCTAGGTGTTTTTATATGGCTCCCAAACTGTGGGATGATAATAGAACATGGTGTGAACCAATCGAGAGCGGAGAAGTCCTTGATGGAAGTGTGAGAATGGGTCTTCTCATTCATGGACCTCCTACAGTGACTGAGAGCTATATCCCTGGACCCCAAGGACTCCTGTGTCTTGGGCTTGCAGGTGCTGGCAGCAAATATTAGACCACAAGACACCCTGAAGTGAGCCAGTGCGCCGACTGTGTCACCACACAGCTTGCCCATATGTTATTACTTATACATCAACCCTCTCTGAGTAATGGCCTGCAGGTTGAGGCAAAGCCAGCTTTCGTCGAGCATATATTTCAGCAGTGTTTAAATAAGCCCATCGAGACGCGCGTCGCGTGAACTTTTCTCTCCCATCCGTCTGCTCAGAGCTGCCTGTGGAACAAAATGAATGGAGAATACAGGAGGCAGGGGGGAGGCGCTTTGAGCCTTCCTCACTCCCCTGGAAAATGAGCTAGTCTGCTTTAACAATAAATGGTGACCAGTTCGAAAGCACACATGACCGGTCTAGTGAAGATTGAGCAAAGTAAGTTGAGCTTAATGAAGTCCTGCGTCTTCTGGACAGGAAAGGACGGGTGTTTTATAACTGTTTATTGGAGTTAATGGTAATAAATTCCTCACTTATGACGCATTAACTTTAATGTTTTCATTATGGGGTGATATAGGGCTTGCCTTTTAACATAGTAAATCATGCTGTCCTGATAGCATAGTGGGTTGAGCGGCTGACATAATGTTATGTTTAGGGGGAGAAGAGAAGAAACAAGAGAATGAGGTATATAGATCATCTAAAAATATTTTGATCCCACCTCCCCAAATGTAGTTTTAACCTTTTTGGCAGTATAAGCAGACATGCCAACAGGGCAAACAGTTTAGAGCAGGACTTTAAGCTGGAGTTGCTAAGCCTCTTGTGAAGGCCTGGTTTCCATAGCAACTTCTGAACTGTTCTTGGTGCTAAAGCTCCTCTTTCTTCTATTTTTCCCGCCTTCCTCTTTGGTAGAGTCTGCGGCCTTTAGCTAATGAGCTGTGCAAATAGATATTGAGATTTACAGTTTTTTAGTTTTGCAATTACCATCTTAGCAGCTTGGAGGAAATTTTCAGAGCCAGGGGCAACCAGCCACCTTCTCATCGAATGCGCTGTGCCCTCTGTGCCTTCCTCTCACCTCCACCCCTTGCCCTTATTTTGTGTCACAGTTATTTTACTTTCGAGCATGCAACAAAATTTCTCAAGCACAAAGAGAAAATACTGTAGTAGAATTTTAAAAATAAAGCACATCTAGTTATACATCAGTAAAAGGTGTTTGTGTTCTGCTCACATGGTCTTAGGAAAACTCAATGGAAAGCTCCAAAGGCTTTTGCATAGCCGAGGTTACTCAGGTTAGAGCGCCCAAGGTCACTTGTGCCCAAAGTTGTGTGTAGTTGTGGATGGTCTAGTTGGAGACAGGTCACTCATTTGGCCAGGGAATCGCTGATGAGCACTATCCTTCATTGAGCCTGGCCTAAATGGTCATGGATGAAAGCTGTCCCCCACTGTGTTGTCCTTGCACAGGGCACTGGTAAAGCCAGCCAACAAAGCCTTCACTTTTTCCATGGTTCTTAAGCTAGTTGACATGGACTTTGTGTGAACAAGATTGTGGCCTGTCAGACCTGGTTGCTAGAGTCATGGTATGGTAAGAAATGCAGAGAAGTGACATGGCAGGTGTCAGGGAAATGCCATCGGAGCTAGAGGCAGAGGGAAGGCTCCAGAGGGATGCCGGAGAGGGTCCCAGTAGGGAGAGAGGCAGCCCATCTGCTGGGGAAGGAAATCAGCGTAACACCAGTAGAAAAGGGGGGCAGATGGGTGAATCGGAGAGGAGGCTCCAAGACTCCTCGCTGGAGACCAGCGGAGAGAGTACGGGTACTCCACTGCCCACACCCTCCCTGCGCAGAAGACTTCCGCACAGGGAGAGTAGGAGGAGACTTGGCGTCAAATAACTTTTTTGCTGGAAGAAGTTCAAGAAACGCCCACTGACGGATACTGCCAGCGACTGAGACAGCCATGAAGCTAGAGGCTGTCCAGTCAGAAAGGGTTCAACCAGGTAACCTAGCCAGGAGTGGCGGCAACTTACGCACGAGCAACCCCTAAACCCAGTACAGCAGTCTGCTATAGTTGTTGCTGATGAATTCTTGATTTCTCACCCCTTGCTTTCAAAGTCAAAATTCTTTTTTAAAACAATTGAATTATAAATAAATTTACATTGCCCTCATCAGACACACCCTACCAAGACATTCTCATGGGACCTATGCCAGAACTCAGTAATGGTCCTGCATTCATTTCAGGGAGGCTGTACCTTGTTCTGTGGTGGATTGTTATCTTTATTCTTTTCCTTGTGAATTAATACCTTCTGCATTTTTAACTTCCTAAATTGCAGTCATTCTATATGCTAAAATTATATCAGAAAATTGTTCCATAAACTAGATTTTTGCCTTTGTGGGCAAAATTTGGTAGAGAGATCCTGAAAGAAGTATGGAATCTAGATGTTTGCATGGAATCTAGATGTTTTTCCTCAGGAATAGCACTTCTGTTGTAGAGATACCTTGGCATTTGAAGTGTAGTATTTCGGGGTTTTATACTCTGATAAAGCTGCCATTGCTACTATTGTCATGTGGGATGTAATTGAACAAAACTAGAGGCTCATGTTATGTTTTCCCTGTGACATGAATTGTGATAGGGAACACAGCTCTCCCCCACGTTGATCATAATTTGTCACAGTGCCGAATAATTTCCCCAACTATGGGGAAAATAACTTTATTTACTTAACTGCAAAAATTATACACTGCACCACCAGCTCAAATGGACTCTCAAAGTTTCTTACCACTTATAAAAACATAAACACTACAATAAAACCACAATAAAAATTAGCAATGAGAAAGTAATAAAACATCAAGCCAGCTCCATAAAATACTAACAATGCAGAAGAAACTAGTATCATTCTTCCTCTAATCACTCATGAGCCTTCTTGAATAAGACATTGGATAGATCTGAACAACTCCTAATCTGCTTCAGTGAGCTGTTTGTTGCTGCCAGGCAGAAATTTGATGGGACAGATCTCTCTCTCTCTCTCTCTCTCTCTCTCTCTCTCTCTCTCTGTGTGTGTGTGTGTGTGTGTGTGAGAGAGAGAGAGAGAGAGAGAGAGAGTTGGATATGGATAACAAAAACCCATATTCAAGTGTCTGCTCCACTGAAAAAAATTGGGCAAATCATTATTTCTCAATGCAGAACTCACATGATAACAGCAGATCTTTTTCTTTGACAGCCGATCACATTTCCATTACCCTTTCCAGCAGAGAAGAGAAGGGCAGGTAGGGGTATGTGTTGAACCCACTGCTACCTACAAAGCATTTCCCCCTGTTGCCTTTCTCTGCACTGATGCTGTTAGGCAATTTTATATTTCAGTCAGTATTCTCACAAAGGAGCTTTACTTCACTTCCTTCAAAATAGGCTGTTTTGTGGGGGCTTACTTCTCATTCGGCTGTGTGGGACCCTGGACATCAGCCACTGGTGCTGACTCCTGCCCTGGTGCAACCAATATAGCCAGGCTTTGATAATAGTAATGGGCCTAGCTGGAAGAGGACGGGACATGGGAGGGGACTTCAACCTCAGGGAGAAAGTGGTGAGCACAATAAGAGATCAGCACTTCATCCCACCTACTTCTCCCCAGGAAATCATTCCATCTCTCCCATTTTGCTACTGTTTGACAGCAACAAATGAAGCCTGTGGGTCCCTCCAAACTGGTAGTTTTATTGCAAGTAAATTCTACAACATTATTATTATTATTATTATTATATTGAATTTATATACTGCCCTTTACCTGGAGGTATAGATGCAAGAAGAATGCATTGTTGGTAGATTTATTCTGCTTTAGTATATTATTCTGCCTTTCGTTCCCAGCTCCTGCCCACCTAGCAGCTCGAAAGCACTCCTAAGTGCAAGTAGCTAAATAGGTACCACTTTATAGCGGGAAGGTAAACGGCATTTCCGTGTGCGGCGCTGGTGCTGGCTCGCCAGTTGCAGCTTCATCACGCTGGCCACGTGACCCGGAAGTGTCTTCGGACAGCGCTGGCTCCCGGCCTCTTGAGCGAGATGAGCACACAACCCTAGAGTCGGTCACGACTGGCCCGTAAGGGCAGGGGTACCTTTAGTATATTCTTCGGTGCTTCTCTAATTACTGCAATGCAACCGCATTATAGCTGTCTGGAGGGGCACAGCTAAACTGGAACAAAAACCCCCCAGAAGGTTGGTAGTATAAAAAGTTATGGGATTTCAGCAAAAAGTTATGGACTATGCACCAATTGGGAATGAAAACAGTATTGAAAATGGGATTGCATGTGACCTGAACACAAATCACTATGACTGCACAATAGAACGAACAACTGGAGGGGACCTTAGTTTGTTAGCCACTATTCCAGTTTAGCTCTCCCTTTTTTGGACATTTGTGCATACAGTACTGTCACTTCTTGAGTTGTCAGTTATGTATGCAGCTGCAAAACCAGAAGTGCAGGAAGTGATATCCTAGGAGTATATATTGTTATGGTTTGCTTATTTACATTGATTGCCTGTCCATCCTAAAGACTCACCAAAGATCTGTAGTCTTCTCCAAAGAACTACAGGTTCCAGAGTTCCCTGGAGAGAGGGAATGAATAAACCAGTTTGAGTCTATGGTGCAGAATATTGTGGACTGAATTATCTGCCTGACCCTGCCATGTGGGTCACCAGATAACTGGTGCATGCAGATATGCAACTGATTAAGCTCAGATTCATTGAATCAGCACAGCAAAGCCCTGGAAAATATATTTTTTAAGTTGATTGGGAAATGGTGTGAGAGACTCTGTCCAGCTTTGACAGTGGTATATACATTTAAAACAAAAGAGTAAAAGCTCCATTTGAACAGGCCCCGAAAAATGCAAAAGACCAAATTCTGGCAATAAATCCATCACTTGAATAACTGTTTCCCATATGATTTGCTGCCATTGATTGCCACCCCACAGCATTGACTCTGGGTTGTTATCTTCCTGTTGATGCCCACACTTTCTGAATTTCTGCTTACTAGCTTCTTACAAAAATGTCCACATAAAATATTTCTGACTGATTTCTTCTCATACACTTTTCTTATTTACTCCAGTGAGCAATGCAATAAAATTAACTTTATACAGGATCAATTTGAGGTGATCCATTTGCTGACAATTGTATTACATTTCTCTCCTGCCTCCTGCTGTTTTTTTCTTTGAAATATTCCCTTATCTTGTCCATAATCTCTAGGTGTTGAAAGTTACAGTAGTAAGGAGCAGTAACAACCACTGAAACTCCCCCACAAGGCATACCACAATAATAATGTTAAATACAGGTGACAAGCAGGACTCTTTTTTTAACAGATTGACAAAGTAACAGATAAGATTGATAAGATAAGAAATTGTTAAGCTTTTGACTTAACGATCATGGGACAAGAGAATGGGGGCTCTTATTTATCAGTAACTGATTGAGACATAAAGAAACAAGAATAATAATGAATGGACAGCTTTCATAGTGAAAGAAAGCTAACAGTGGAATCCTTCAGGAATCTTTATTGGGAATGACTTATTCAAAGGATATCTGGAGTCAGGACAAGAGTGAATAGTCAATTTAATGGTGACACTAGGTTACTTGTAAAACTGGTTTTCTCCCATGGCTTTGGGACTGGAAGTAACCCCCAACATGCTGTACTTTAAAAAAACACATACACAATGTTCTGCTTTGTACAGATTGAGATGTTGTATCATTGTCATACTCAGAAGAACTCCAAAATGATTTTTCCAAGCTGACTTGATACAAGACATATGAGATATTTGGGAGCTTTAGGTGGTGAGTTCTTGGATCCAGAGTTAAACCACAGAACCTAGGACTTGCTGATCAGAATGTCGGCGGTTCCTGCTCCTGCCAACCTAGCAGTTCGAAAGCACGTCAAAGTGCAAGTAGATAAATAGGTACCACTCTGGCGGGAAGGTAAACGGCATTTCCGTGCGCTGCTCTGGTTTGCCAGAAGCGGCTTAGTCATGCTGGCCACATGACCTGGAAGCTGTACGCCGGCTCCCTCGGCCAATAAAGCGAGATGAGCACCGCAACCCCAGAGTCGGCCACGACTGGACCGAATGGTCAGGGGTCCCTTTACCTTTACCTTTTTATCCAGGTAGCTGTGTTGGTCAATAGTGATTCTTACCAGTTTCAGGAAGTACTCCTACTGTGCCCTTTCCTAAAAAAGGATGGTGCTACAAATATTTATGCTCTGGTGACATCAAGATTAGGTTAGTGCAAATATTCTATGTGGAGCTGCCTTTGAATGGCGTTCAGAAACCTCATCTGGTTTCCAATTTTATAAATCTGTTAGTTGGTTTATGGGGCCAGTTTAAAGTGCTGGTTTTAATCTGTAAGGTCATAAACAGCCTGTACTTTTAAAGCACCTTCTGTTTATAGGGGCTTATAGGGATTTCCGCAATTGAAATGAGAGAGCATGACATTCCAAAAATATTGTGCCATGGCTGGGCAAGGGCTGCTTTCTTCACTTTCCAAAGGTGCTGAGGGAGGTAAACCTCTGCCATTTGTCTGAATTCCAGACCTAAACATTAGACTTTAGGGCAACCAGACAGCAATAGGATATTCTGGTGTGTATTTGCTGCTTAATGGTTCATCTCTCCTTTGAGGTGGCACAAAGAGGCCTTAAAAACAAAGAGCTGGTTTGAAAACATGCTGAACTCCTCTCTAGATTTCATCTTAATTGTTCTGTGAGAGCTGAGAGAATGGGTAGGAGATGACAGAGGTATCTCACACCTGTCCTTTGTGTAAGTAATCTTGCTTCTCTTTTTTGAGAAAATGTTATATATACACTCACCCACCCACACAGCATTTTTGGGAGGATGTTTGAGATTTCTTAGGGTGAAATCCCCAGTTCTTGACAAATGTAAATCATCATCTGGTTTCAGAAAAAGTTATTTAAAGGCTATGTTGATTAAAATATTTTTTTCTTCAAAGAAAAAAACATTCAAAGAAAAGCCTTCCAAACTTCCAAGTTTGGGAGACTATATGCCCTGTTTTTGAGAAATCCAGTATCTCGCACCTTCCCTTTCGCATCAAGCCCATCCTCCCCACATGGCTCCTTGGCTCCAAAGGCACGGCGATGGCGCCAGGTGCGACGTTCCCAAATCCGACTAGGCAGGCCAGGGGCCTTGTGGGTAGTAACCCAGTACACTTTGCACCGTTCTTCCGACTCGCCACTGGAGGAATCACACGTACCTGAAAGATCTGAAGAATCTGCGGAGTCCCTCTTGCACTTACGCCCATGCTTCCTCGATCTGCAAGACCTCTTCTTCCTGCGACGTGTTCTGCGTGAATCAGGGCTGGAGGAGCTGTCTGATGAACTCGAAACAGGTGACCTATGACTACACCTACCCTCGCGAGAGCGTCGACAAGGGGACTTAGACTTATCTAAGCGCTCCTTAGCCCTAGCCAGGCGACGCTGCAGGCTGCGGTTCTGACGCAGCAATTCCTGCACATCGTCGTCACTGGACTGGGAAGAATCGCTCTCAGCAGTGAACTCCTCTGTGTATGCCCGTTTTTTCTTCTTAGGGAGGGCCCTGTAGGGCCTGGCATCAGAGGTGGAGGGGCCATCATCCCTCACTTTTTTCTTAGAGATAATTAACTTCATAGGTGGGACCTTCCGGCTAGAAGACAAGGCCCTTTTTTTAACCCTGTTGGCTGCCTTTACGGCATTGCTAGGGGTACCCCTCGATGCGGCTCTTGGGGTGCCCACCCCTACGACACCAAGAGAGTGCGAGGGGGAGCCTTCTCTTTGATCAGCAGCCATGTCTAGAGACATAACGCGCCTTGAAGCAAGTCACCACTACTAAGACCTGCAAATACCCAAGTATGATGGCAGTTTGTTGTATTTGTTTGTTTGTTTTTGTTTTTGTTATATTAATTATAATTATTAGATTTATTTATATTTGCAATCGGACTGTTTTTGGTGAAAGACAGAACCAGCCAACCTAACTGCGCACAAACGCTAAGACTGCAAAAATAGAAACAGTTAGCACACATCCTGAACACCAACTTGGGGGAACAGGGGGGTGCAAGCATGACCGCCATGCAGCCTGACTTAGCTCCCCCCCCCATAAGGAAAAAAGTGGGTTGCCCTGCAGCCCGGCGAGGCACCCCCACCCCAGTGTGATTCAGTTCAAAAAGATCGCCATGTGGCCCCCTTGTGCGGGTGGCAAAACAATCAGGCTGGCCTAACAGCCCAGCTGAGGCCCGCGTCACCCATTTTTGCCAGCAACACCAGTGGCTGGCCGCGATGCCACCCCCCCCAGCTGCAAAAACAAGCAGGCAGTGTCTGCTGCCTAGCTGGGGCCCGTGCATCCCGCTCAGGTCGGCAGCAGCAGCTTCAACCAAGCACAACAATAAGCCTCAACAGACAAATTAAATCTTAAATCTCAACAGAGCCTCCTGGGTCAGCAGGCACCTCCTGCAGGGGCAATGCCGCCCCCCCACCACTGAGAAAAGGGACTAGGCCGCGTTTTGAGGCCTAGTCAGGCCTGTGCCGCCCTCCCAGTGGCCCCCCCGCCGTAAAAGCAAGCAGGCCCAGCCGCGGCCTTGCTGGAGCCCCGTGCTGCCCGCCTGGGTAGGAAGGGGCACCGGGCAGGCGGCGGTGGGGAGCGAGGCCCCCCCTGCCGCCCAAATGCAAGCAAAAATAAAGAAGGCCGGTTACTTACCTCAGTCCGGCCGCCTGGATACACTCCTGATCCTGATCTTGATCCCAGAAGGAAGAGCAGCAAAAGAGGCTTGAGCCCAGGAGTCAGCCTCTTTTCCTTTGGCCTTAGGCCCACCCCCGGCCGGCTGTCCATTGTCCTCCCTGGCCGGGGGCGGGTCAAAGGCCAGCTCAGGCAGGTGGGTGGCACCCGCCCAGGTGAGCCTCGCTTGGTGCCGCAAACCCCGCCCACCTGTGGGGAAGGGAGGGCGGATATTGTAGTCACTTTACTGCAAATGCCGGAGATAAATCTGTGTTGGAGAAAATGTTGGTGAATACTCCCACATGTGGGATGTGCGTGTGTCTGCTTGTAGAGATTAGTTTAGTTTAGTCCACTCCGCATTTTTAGGAGAACCAACCTAATTTGCTGTTTCTGACTTACGGTTGAATCAGTATGCAGCTAACAACAGACTGCACACTTCTTTGAATTTTGTGATGCAGTTTTGTTTCAAAAATTCATTAAATGTTATTTTATAAGAAAACCCATAGAAAAGTGTACAAATATGTACATTTAAAGAGGAAAATGTGTACAAAATATGTATTTTAAGAGAAAGTGCATATCAAAACGTGTAAAATATAAATGTACATTTTATGTCCTAACAAAAAAATGGGGAATAGATTTATGACTGAAAACCTGTGAAACTAATACTGAATAGAACTAGTTATATGCTAGAAACTCTGGCAGGTTAGGGACAAAGGTGAAAGCTACTTCCTAGTTCTACTGGATCTCTCAGCGGCATTTGATACCATTGATTAATCCAGAATGCGGCAGCTAGATTGGTGACTGGGAGTGGTTGCCAGGACCATATAACACTGGTCCTAAAGGATCTTCAGTGTCTCCCAGTTTGTTTCCAAGCATAATGCAAAGTGTTGGTGCTGACCTTCTGAAGCTCTTGGCTCAGAATACCTGAGTGAGCTTGTCCAGCACCATAGTTCAGCCCGGACACTGTTTTTGTACAATCTTGTTTGTTCCCAGTAACCAAAATTATATTATCAACATATTCAAGCTGAAAAGTTGTTTTCCTTCATTAGCAAGGAATCATACAAAACAAAGTGGCACTAATAAAGGAAAGTTCCAGGGTAGCAACAGAAAGCAAACTAAAAATGCTTTTGCAGTTCATCAAAACTATCCAGCAATATCAAGTTATAGGAAAACTGGTGCTATTAACAGTTATCCTTCTAGTTGGTTAATTGGTTCGGCAACTTCCATGCACATGATGTGTGATGCTAATTATTTCCCCAAAGAGTTAAATGATAACTAATCAGAGGCAGCTACAGTTGCAAATGGCAACAAAATATATGTGAAAGGAAGAGGAGCAGGTTTGCTCAAGTGCGTTCCAGGTAGAAATGCTGTTTGTAATGAAGTGAGAGCAGTAGTTTACTTGCTTGAATTAACAAATAATAAAGTTTTGAGAATTTAAATTCTAGATTAAAATTGATTACTTCATTGAGAAGGGGATTGTAACAAAAACACTGGGGCCTAATTTGAATAGTAGAGTGCCTGGTATCTGGTGGGCAATCTCATCCTTTATTTACACACTGTGGCTGCAGACCAAATCACCTGTCAGGAGAGTTATGAGATTCAGGTGAGGGTCAGATGCCTTCACCCATTATTTTTAAGAATAACATTATAACATTAGTGTTAATTTTATGCATTTTAAAAAATCACCATGGTATTTAACAATAATATGTCCTTTAGAGGAGAAATTGTGAATTGCAGAATTTTAAATACCCGTCATCATCCTTGGTTTCACTCAATTTTGTTTATAACACTCTTTCATTTTCTTCTAGTTGTGAGGGTGGGGGTGGGGAGGGGCCACACAAGTGGAGTAGCCTAGGGCCTCTCTTCATCTAAATCTGGCCCTGAGTGGCGGCCTTACTATGGAACGCCCTCCCTTCAAATGTTAAGGAGATAAAGAACTACATAAGTTTTAGAACACATCTGAAGGCAGCCCTGTATCTGGAAGTTTTTAATGTTTGATATTTTACTATGTTTTATATATGCTGTAAGCCACCCAGCCAGATGGGCACGGTATAAATAATAAAATTATTATTATTATTATTAGCCTGAATTGCCATTTGTTGCACATCAGCTTTAAAGAGTGGGTTTTTGCAGGGAAAGCTCTGGGTTATTCACAGAAAATACTGCCACCTGAATTTCAGTGATGCCACCACAGGGGGCAGCCATATATTGATTCCAGCAGCTCCATGCAGAAGGGCTTTATAAAAGAGGCATCGGTTTGATGAAGTAGACTCCAGTTCACAAAAGCTTGCACCGTAATAAATCCATAAGGTGTGACTCCTTGTTAATTTCCCTTATGTTACATTCTGCCCGACTGAATTTTCATGTGCAAAGTCTTGTGCAAGCTGGGCTGGCAGGAGTAGGGGTATGAAGTGGAGGTGAAATGTACATCCAAGTGCACTTGTCAGTCAGACCTGCAGTAACTTTAGTGAATTATGCATTCCTCAGAAACAAAGGAACATGTACCTTTACCTGAAACCATCCTATGGAACCAGGACAAGAATTAGCCCATATATTTTTTTCTTCTTTTTCTACAACCTTGGATTACATTACATGATCAGTTGCTATCATGATTCTGGTTGGACTAGATCCTGTTGCTGGCTTCTGCAAAAGGAGCAAGTGAGTCTGCACTGTTTTCCTGCAGCCTTATTTCTTGAGGAATGGGGTTGAGGGGAAGCCCCATGCTGGCAATGTACTGATAGCAAATGAGATTAAATAAGCGCGGCAGCTCACTGTCATCTCCCCGCCTTCCCCCCGGTGTAATTCAATTCAAGCGCGAGCGGTGATGGGAACTCACACGGGCTGCCTCTGTCACCCCCGCTGAGGTTTGGAATCTTTTAACGTCTAAATAAAAGTTTCACTCAAGCATTTTTTATGCTCCTGCCAGCGGGATCGGCGAGCTGGCGTTGGGCACATTAATGTTAATATTCATACTGGCAGATTTCTCCCCGTGTACCAGGCCTGTGTTGGTAATTATAAATGTGCGCTGCAAGATGACATTTAGATTTGCGGGCTTTAACACAAGGGGAGAGGGGGATGGGTTTCAATAAAGAGGCACACTTTAGTATTTGTCATTTATGCAAAGCTGGCCTTACCGTGAGGCAGGCCAAAGACGCTGCCTTAGGCAGGAGATAGAGGCATAGTCTGAAAAGGGATGAACTGTAGACATCTATCGAAATCTGCTGTGCCTTAAATTTGAAATGGAGTGGTGGTGGTAGGGCGTCTTCTTCACTTTGAGAGTGGCAGGTCTTCAATAGTGCTTGTGCAGGGAACTGTTGTGACCAGTTCAGGCACCACTCTGACTGTGCTGATTACTGGAGGCAGCTGTGAAATTTTCTGCAAGTACTTGGTTGCCCGGAAGAGGAAGAGTCCACCTTTAGCCCCAGTTCTATTTCTGTTTCCCACACTTCCGCCAGAAGAGGGTGGCAGTTAGACTCAGGTGATAGTAGGAAAACTGAGTACACATTTCAGTACAATCTCTATGGCCCTCTTAATGATCATATAGGCCCCAGTTGTTCTAGTTTTACAGTGGTACCTCGGGTTACATATGCTTCAGGTTACAGACGCTTCAGGTTACAGACTCTGCTAACCCAGAAATAGTACCTCGGGTTAAGAACTTTGCTTCAGGATGAGAACAGAAATCGTGCTCCAGCTGTACGGCGGCAGCGGGAGGCCCCATTAGCTAAAGTGGTGCTTCAAGTTAAGAACAGTTTCAGGTTAAGAACGGACCTCCAGAACAAATTAAGTTCTTAACCAGAGGTACCAGTGTACTGATGGGAAATTTAAGCTTAAAAATATTGACATACACAAGACTAGATAGTTAGCCCCGCTCCACCAAGTGCAATGCAAGCTTTCATGTTCATATCCTCTATAGCTTACTTGGGGGATGGGGGACTGAGCACACCTAATAATGTATTGGTGCTGTTGTAAGCTACAGGGATATCTACATGAGGTAGCCCTGGCGGAGGCTGTGTTTATCCATTGGATGCATCAGCATTCACATTGTCTAATGTTGCTGTTGCAATTTTTTGGATTCCAGTGGCAAAGATAGAATTTGAATCTGGATTTCCCAGACCCAAGCACTTTCTTTTTTCACTCAATCCCACTGGCTTGGGGCATTTGCTTCATTGGAATCAAAAGCAGTAATAGCAATGGTGGGGCTTAGGCCTCACTGCTTAGGCCTCTGGCATCTTCATCTAGCTAAAATCCTTGGTTTTTAACCCCCTGCTCCTAATCTGGGTGCATTTCCAGTGACTTTCCTAGGATTCAGCTTCTGTGCCTGCTCATCACTCCTACCTCTTTCCCTACCTTCCTGCCAAGAGAACATAACCCTTGCTATGCCATATCTTCATGTGAGTGTTTTCCTAACCAAGCTGATATTTCCTTAGAGAACATGTATTAGTTGTCAGCATTCTGTTTGCTGACATCCCAAGAGGTGAGAATGCTAGTGAGCATGTTTATGGGCAATATGACTTTTTTAGCTTGTTCAGTAAGGAGCAGGTAAACCACACTGAACACTGCAGAGAAATCCACAATAACAACCCTAAACAGATAGCAGTGGTCACTAGCTAGTCTAGCCATTCCAACCCCTTGTAAGAGAGTCTTCCAAACACATTGACTATAATATGCCTAGCTTTCTGGGAGAAGAGATACTTTTCAGCCTTTTCCTTTGTACTTTGGTACCCAATCCTGAATGTGGACTGCTGCTTGCACATCTGGGGGGAACCTTGGTCCTTAAGATAGGGTTAAACACTGAATTTCTCATTTAGGGAAGAAGAAAATAATAGCTTATTCTCTCCCCTAATAAAAAAAGCTTAGAACAGGACAGGGTGGGGTTGAATTCTGCACAAATGAACCCTTATGTTTGGCTGCTGCAGTTGTGTCTCACCTCACCTCGAGACACATTTGAAAGGATTTATGTCCACCCCCAGAGTTTTGCAGAGTCATAAAACTCCAAAATGAAAATAGTTCTGTGAAGGAAGAGAGGAGTAGGGGAGGGAAAATTTGACAACATGGATGAATTGGCATGTTAAGAGAGAGCCGCTTAGCAAAACAAGAAGGAACCCCCTTCTGGTAAGGGATTCATACTTAAAAAGCTGCTGAACATGGCCACTGGGGAGATGATCAGTAGCACTTTTAGATAGGCGGGTGGGGGAGAGATTCAATATAAATTAACTACT